GGCCAGGACTGCAGGACAGTGGCCATCAAGACCTTGAAGGACACGTCCCCCGATGGCCAGTGGTGGACCTTCCTCCGGGAGGCAACAATCATGGGCCAGTTCAACCACCCACATATCCTGCGGCTGGAAGGCGTGGTCACCAAGAGTATGGGCAGCCCCCAGGGCGGGGAGGGGCAGCAAGAAGGGGTGAGGCCCAGGAGCAGAGGGGACGGTGTGAGGCCGGTGTGGGGGCCACCCTGACACCACGCGTGCCCTTCCCCAGGAAAGCCCATCATGATCGTCACGGAGTTCATGGACAAAGGAGCCCTGGACGCCTTCCTGAGGGTAAGCGGGGCACAGGGCAGCGGCACGCACAGAGCCCTGGGAGCCCCCCCTGACACACCAACCCTGCTGCAGGAGCGAGAGGACCAGCTGGCCCCTGGACAGCTGACGGCCATGCTGCAGGGCATTGCATCCGGCATGAGCTACCTCAGCGACCACAACTATGTCCACCGGGACCTGGCCGCCAGGAACATCCTGGTGACCCAGAACCTCTGCTGCAAGGTGTCCGACTTCGGCCTGACACGCCTCCTTGACACCTTTGACGGCATCTACGAAACCCAGGTGTGAGCCCTGTGCACAGCACAGACACCCCGCACACACACACATGTGATCATATGGCATATGCACTACACATACACACGTGATCATACAGCATGCACACTGCACATACACAAGTAATCACAGAGCATACACAGCACACATTCATGTCATCACACCATACACAGCACACACACATGTGATCATATGGCATATGCACTACACATACACGTGATCACACAGCATACACATTACACCTACACATGTAATCACATACCATGCACAGCACTCACACATGTGATCATGCACCATCTACACTACACATGCACACGTGATCACACAGCATACACACTACACATACACAAGTAACTGCACACCATATATTGCACACATTAATGAAAATTACATACCATACACAGTGTACATACATGTGATCACATACCATACACAGCACACATACACAAGTGATCACATACCATACACAGTAAACATGCACACGTAATTACACACCATGCACAGCAGATATACACACATGCATAATCAGACACCATACACAGCACACATACATGTGTGTGGTTATACACCATACACACATGTGGTCACACACAGTACACACACACATGTAATCACACACAATACACAGCACACATACACACACACGATCGCATATCATACACAGTACACATGAACACGTGCAAGTCATCACACACCATACAGCACACACAGCATACCTACACACATGCAGACATGATCACACACCATACTCAAGTGTGATTACACACCATGCACAGCACCCATGTACACACAAATGCACACAATCTGAACACACGCACACTGTATACATGTGCACTCACATGTACACACAGCACAGGCATATAATCACATACTGCATACTCACGTATGCACACATACCATGTGCTTGCAGTCACATACTGTACACAGCACCTGTGGACACACATGCAGGCACTGATGCATGCATGCATTGTACACACGTGCACCCTTGCACATGCACACACACGTACAGATCACACACGTGGTTGCATACACACAGCACACCGGCGCACATAGCACACACAGGCAGTACCCAAGGACAAGGGTCTGTGCCTGTGTGGTATCCACGCTCTCTACCCTCCCCCGTGTGCTTTTCGCCGTCCCCTCCATGCCCAGACCCCTGCCCTCATGTCTAGGGAGGGAAGATCCCCATCCGCTGGACGGCCCCTGAAGCCATCGCCCACCGGACCTTCACCACCGCCAGCGACGTGTGGAGCTTTGGGATTGTGATGTGGGAGGTGCTGAGCTTTGGCGACAAGCCCTATGGGGACATGAGCAATCAGGAGGTGAGGCCACCCCAGGTGCCCCCAGTGCACCCCACTGCCCCATCTCCTGAGTCCTCCCATACCCTTTCCTTCATACTCAGTGTCATCCCCGGACCCCTGACTTTGCGGCCACCTTGTCTGCCCTGACACCCTGCTCGTGTTGCCCCCCACCTGGTCAGGGCTGTCTCAGGGCCTCTGCCGTGCACTATATGGACGCGGGTTGCCCTTGGGCCACCAGGTGAGTGTCCCCGGGCATTGCCCTGCAGGTGATGAAGAGCATTGAGGACGGGTACCGGCTGCCCCCACCGGTGGACTGCCCGGCCCCACTGTACGAGCTCATGAAGAGCTGCTGGACCTATGACCAGGCCGGCCGGCCCCCCTTCCACCAGATTGATGCCCACCTGGAGCAGCTGCTGGCCAACCCCCACTTGCTGCGCACTGCTGCCAACTTCGACCCCAGGTGTGGAGCTGGGGAAGGCGCTTGGCCCCTTCCACCAAGGACAGGGCCCGCAAACTTCCAGCAGCGCCCAGCCCAGAGGCCGGGGCTCACGCCTCGCCCTGGGGCCGTGCACTCTGAGAGGAGGGGTATCTCTCCCTGGACAGCCCGCAGCTGGATAGAAGGCAGGGGCAACTGGAGGCACACCTGCACAGTTAGGGCAAGTCAGGTTCTCGCCTGCTGGCACTGCCTAGAGGGGCGAGTGGCAGAGTGCTCCCACCGGCAGAATGGTGGTGTGGACAGGCCGAGGGCGCCTGCGCATCCCTGCACTGTGCACCGCAGCCCCCTTCCTCCCGCAGAGCTTCTGAGGCCACTGGACTGGAGAGGCACGCCCCTCCCCATAGAGCAGGGGTGCAGGAGAGGGTCGCTCACTGGCACATGGGGAGGATCCGGGTGGCTCCCATGGTCTGCATTCCCCCATGAACGGAAAGGGCAGTAGTTCAGGTCACCCAGGGGTGCTGTAGAAGAAAAGCCCCCGAAAAGCTTACAGGCAGGAAAACTCCACGGAGCACAGTTACACACACACACACACACACACACACGGGGTCGCCATGAGGCAGAACGCAGGGGACAGCTGCAGGTTTGGTTGGCCGAGTCTTTGGCTCAGAGATACAGCCCTGCTCGAGCTGATGTCTGCCACAGGGGATGTGGTCAGTGGAACGGACCTGGGGAAGACAGTGAACAGGGAAACGCAGGGCAGTGCGGGCGGGCTGTGACGGAGGTGGGGCGCTGAGGCCACGCTCACTGTAGATCCTTTGGGACTCTGGGTCCAGGAAGCTGGAGAGGCAGTTGGTTAGGGGTGGAGGGCCAGCTCACTGGGGGCAGAGAGCAGTGAGTGACCACTGTGAGCTGTCCACGACAGTGATGTGATCAGAACGGCCTAGGTGTATGCACTAGGACCTGGGGGCGGGGTGTGGTGGGAGAGCTCCAGGAACTTTCTGGAGCTGGCCTTGGGAGCCCAGCGCAGTAGGTAACAGCACTGTCTCTAAGAAAGCTTGCTCCCAGCTCCACCTTGGGGAGCTATCTTTTGGAACGCGGCCTGCCCTACACTGGACGCTGCGTGTGCTAAGCTTTCTGGAATGCTGGCTATCCCTCAGCAGATTGGCTTTGCTAATGGTCTTGGCTCTGGCTGCCGTCACAGGAACGCGGTTTGTATCGTGGGTGTCGGGAATTACAGGAGGGAGCCCACAGTCAGTGGGCCCTCAGCCCCTTCCTGTCTGCAGAACCGGCCTCTCCACAGAAGAGGGGCTGACGGCCCTGGTGTGAGGGCCCACAGGGCTGGCCGCCCTGCTCCCTGGGCTGTCAGGCCTGTTGGCTGCGCCAGGACGCAGCGCGGGAAACCGGGTTGGCACGATAAAGCCTGGCCCACAAAGTCTATACAGGGAGCTCTGTGCTCAGACCTCGCCGTCGAATGGAGCTGCGGGCGCTCGGAAGGCGTGCAGTTCAGCAAATCGGAGTGCAGGCCTGGGGCAGTCCGTATCCCCCGCCTCACGGCGTAGAAGTGCCATGCCTCCCTAGTCGCAGCCCTACACCCCAGGGTGACAGGCTTGCACACCATCACCTGCCCCATCCTCACAGTCCCAGTCGTACCCCTCCAGGACCCAGCCCGGCACCTGGCGGGTGACACGCCCCTACGTTCCCCAGAGTGACCCTCCGCCTGCCCAGCCTGAGTGGCTCCGATGGGATCCCGTACCGCAGCGTGGCGGAGTGGCTGGAGTCGATTCGCATGAAGCGCTACATTCTGCATTTCCGCTC